AAAATATAAATTTCAAATTTAAAAAAATTTCTTTTTTTAAATCTTTAAAGTTAAAAGTTAAAAACAACCATATTAATTGGTTAATTTATTATTTAAATTGGAAAAAAAATTTTTTTTATAAAAACCCCCTTGGTGAAAACAGGATCCCTTGGTGGTGGTGGAGTAAATCCCCCCCTTTTTGGGGGAATAATAATTTTTTTCCACGAGTTACCTTGTTTCATGAATTGCGACTGATCATAAACGCAAAATATTTTCCTTTATAACCCATTCATTCTTTTATTTCTTTTTCTAATGCGCAATTTTTTTTTTTTTTTGTCATAATACTGACCGGAATAATTTATATATATATTTATGATACTTTTTTTTTTTTAAATTAAAAATTAATTACGTCATATTAAAAAAGTAAACGTACAAAATACGAAGACATTTTGAAAAAAAAAAAATTTCAAAAATAATCATGACCTTATTAATTTTTTTTTTCACGTAAAATAAAATTAATTGAATACCAATTTTGAAAATTTTACATAAATATAAAAAAATAATAATAATAATTAAAACAGTGATTAATATTGTTACGACGTAATTTGAAAAACTTGTAACAAAATAAATTTTTTTTTATTTAAATACGAAATTTTTTATCATTGTAATAATAATAATAATAATTAATATGTCAACTTTTAAGTTTCCCGCAATTTCAAAAAATTTCCATTCATTTTCGGGGCCCTTTTTTTACGAAATTCTAATATATATATCAGTATGGCCGACAAAGTTTTAAGTAGTTTTATTCAAAGGGTTAAATTATTTAAATTTTCTTATTATAATAATAAAATTTTTAAAAGGACTGTCATTGTCAAGGAATCTGGAGCGTTATATACGGAACCTAAACAAGTTCCTTTGGGATTAATACGGGTAATATTTACTGTCATACCTGGTTTGCTGATAGGTGCAACCATAAGTAAAACCATAGCTAATTTTTTGGAAGAGAATGATCTTTTTGTACCATCTGATGATGATGATGATGACTAAAAAAAAAAAAAAAAAAAAAAAACAGTTTTAATGTGAGTCTATTTTATCCTTTACTTGTATTTATTTTAATTAATTATATAGTAATCATTGTATACTTAATTTCAGAAAGGTTACTTCTGTTGTTGATTAACTCTTCACTTCAACACTTTACACTTTGATTCAGTTGTCATAATGTCTAATTAAGAAAAAAAATTATCTAGTCAAGTGAAGTATTTTGTTTGAAAAACAAATTTTCAGATTTAAATTTATTTTGTAATGTTTTTCAGTAGTATTCGATGATATTAACTTATGTTTGCAATATTCATTAATCGTTAGTATTTTCAATTACGTTCATATGCTTCAAATTAATTCAAACATGTAAAAACGATAAACGAAATAATCACAGTCATATACAGTAATTATTATTTATAAAATATTTATGTTTTACAAAAAATAAGATACTTTTTATTTATTTTTATTTAATTTTTTTTCGAATATTTTATATCTTAATAATTTATTATGTATAACATCAACGTAAAATATTATTTATTTATTAGGACCCGAGTGTTAAATTTTTTATTATAAATAATAAAAAAAAAAAAAAAAAAGTTTTAAAAATATTTTTATTATTTTAAATATGTACCTGATAAAGAATTAGAATTATATATTTATATAATATATAATATCATTGATAAATACTAACTAATATTTAATTATATTTTCCTTTAAAAAATCATATATTTTAATTATTTGAATAAAAATTTTATTTTTTAAAATTTCAACATTTATTATATATATATATATACTTGAATGAATAACATTATTAAATTGATACGTCCAAGAGATTATTTTTACAAACAATATATATATATATATATTTAAATAGAATATATATATATATAAAAAATTTAAAATTAGCACTTGAAATATAAAAAATTAAATCTTTAATAAAATATAAATAAATTAAATATAGTTTTTTTTTTTTTAATATCATAGTATAAAATGTAAAATAAAAATATTTATCAACAATTAATTAATTATAATACAATAATAATAATAATAATTAAAATTTTATATATTCAAATACTAAATGAAAGCACATAAAATAAAAAATAAATTTTTTTTTTTTTTGACTATTCCGTTTTGACATTAGAACATTATTATAATTTAATAATAATATTTATTCATATCCTTTTTTTTTTTTTTTTAAAGAAATACTTTTTAATAAATAATATAAATTTATTTACATAATTTTAATAAGTACAATATATATTTTTTTTTCGTCATGGTTTGGCCAATTAAACGTATTCGTTATAATAATATTTATATATATATATTTACATATGGTTTTAAAATAAAATAACAAACTATTTTTTATTTACGGCAAGCATTTAAAGATAAAATTATTAAAAGTAATTTAGAAATTATTTCTATTATATATAATTAGAATAATTCTACCTAATTTTTGTACTCTCTAAATAAAAAAAAAAAAAAAAATGAAAAAAAATGCAACTTTATGGATTATAAAGTAATAACAATTTTTTTAAATAATAATATTAAATTTCATAGAGTAAAAAAAGTATAAAATATATAGAAAAGGAAACAAGTTAAAAATATTAATTAATTCGCTCATTTTTGGCTGGAATGACAATCTATGAATTAAAGTTTTTTAGTAAGTTGTCAAACGCGATTATTCGACGAAGACGGAGACGACGAATGTACAATTTTTTTACGAGATATGACTTGAGAAAATGTACTTCCAGAATCTGTCGTTACTGAACCCGTAAACCCATGTTTACCTGATCTATTTGAAAAAAAAAAAAAAAAAAAAAATTTTCATGAGTTTAAATTGTCTTCCGGGAAAAATGAAATGAGAAAAAGTCTTCGGAGATTTGTTGTTATGTAAAATAAACGTTAACAATGTATTGAAAAAAAAAAAAAATTTTATACATTACCTTCTTCTTTGAAGAGAAATATTTTGACCGGGAAGACCGAAACAACCTCTTGGAATAACCATTCTTGCATTACCCTGCGCCGGCCTTGACCCTCCGTAGGCTTTAAGACTTGCCAAATGCGCTGCATACCCGTCCGTCAATATTGTCGCTTGGGAATGAAGTTTTTTCGATACTTTGCCCACGATGAAAATTTGTTTCGGTTTTAAACCGATGGACGTGTAAACGCTAATGTCTTTTCCACTTCCATAAGCTGCGTGAAATATAACATCGTGATCTTGCATGAGAGCTTTCAAGTATTCGGCTTTGTGAAGTAGAGGAAATCGCGAAAAACCATCGACGAAATAAATAAATCCGTGTGGGAAATTGTGTTGAGATAGCCAAGACATGACTTTTTGCTGTTGCATGTCCGGTCGCCCTGTTATGTATATTACAAAATACCCTAATTCTTGCCAGTGCCTGTAATTGAAACAATAACTCATAAAAACTTCGTTTGTGTTTTACAAACTCAAAACTCTTGGGTTTTATACGTACCTAACAATATCAACAGCACCCGCTCTAACTTTTGGATCTTTTCCCGTGACGGAAACACTTGCGGTAAAAGATCCATCAATACTGAATACGACGCATTCGGTTTTCGGCGGAACGACAACTAAATAGAAATCAGCAGACGTGTGATCTCCTCTGACAATCATTTTAACCGGGTAAATACCGTAAGTTAAACATTTATCAGGTGGAATTGTAAAAGTTATTCTTCCTGTTTTATCAGTGACTTCCGTTCCGTAGTAAACCCATTCTCCACCCGGATGACTTGTCATTATGTGAATATCGACTTTTTCACCTGAAAAAAGAAAAAAGATTAGTTTTATCAGTCAAGTGTTAGCTATTGCTCATCATCTAATTTTTTGTCCATCAACGAACCTGTGAGTGTGATCATGTCCAAAGGACCGTACATGAAACGAGCGACTAGAATTTGCGGGGCTCCTTCTTTTACGATTACATCGTTAGCACGATGATTGGCAGCAACATTTTTCAATTTCACCGACGTTTTTTTCTTAATCCATTTTTCCCTTGGTTGCCCAGGGTTAAAGGAAGAAATTTCTTTGTCTTTGTTATTTGACGCCGGCAATTCAATTCTAGTTATCTAAAAAAAAAAAAAAAACCGGTAATGTTTACCTGAAAGAAAATCCTGAAATTAAATTTATTCGTTATTGGTTTTTAAAATAAAAATTAACCTGTCTCAAAATAAATGCAACAACATCGAACGACTCCCAATAACTCGCATGAAAGAGATGAGGTAATGCATTCGTAGGAAAACTAGACAATCCTTCGGGACAGTAGAGAGCATAATCAAGTCTTTTGGTTCCCCACCACTTTTGGGAAACTGTAAAATAATAATAATAATTTCATACAATTTAATAAATTGATATAAATTACAAAAAAAAAAAAACTTTTATCAAACTCTTACTTACTGGAAGTAATACTTTGAAGAGGTAAACTGTCGATAAATCCTGATAACGTACTTTGCAAACTGACTTCGGACATTCGTCTCGAGGGACCAGAATTTTGAGATGAATTTAACTTTGATCCTTCTGCAAACCACTGAGGATGCGACTGAATAAGTTCGACTGTAAAAAAAAAAAAAATTTCAATTTTAACATCGATTCTATCAATAATGACACATTCGTAATTGAAAATACTTACGCAAATGATGTGGTTGACCGTCACCCAGAGGATATTTCTGATATCGAGCTATATTAACGGGTGGAATGATAGAAAATCTCGCGGATATAAGTGGCTCCAAGCGCATGGCAACGGGATCAGTAGGATGAAAAAGGTTATACACCTGACAAGATCCCGGTTGAGTCAACGGTAAATTTTTTTCATCCTTTAAAATTTTCCGGTAGGCTAAAACGAGAGAGAGAGGACTACCGAACATGAATAAATCTGCGACTTCGAAACATAATTTAGACACGCTCGCCTGATCCCTGCAATCATAAAAATTTTTTTTTTTTTTTATTAAGTAAATAATAAAATTTATAATTTCACGATTACTTTTTTTTTTTTTTTATTTTGTCTCACCCGCTTTCTGACGTTCTAGGTTCGAGCATAATTTTTTGACCATCCATAATATCGTAGACTTCAATATCTGCATCTAAAATACTATTTTCGCTACCGTGACGAGAATTACCGGACGAGCAACAAATAGCATCGTATGCTAAAATTGAACCCACTGAATCACCTAAAACAATTAAATTAATTTATAATATTGTTTGTTGGGGGGGAGGGGCTTTACAAATAACAAAAGTTTATAAAAAAAAAAAAATTATTATTATACCTATGAATACAACTCTTCCGTTAAAACCTTTTCCTTCTTCTGATTTTATAAACTCCTGATAACACGAATTACATGAAATGATAGTTTTTGTGACGGAATCTTGATATTCTGCGCTGGAACAAGCAAACAATGGAATGGCTCCAACTGGAATTGAATCGTTGGTCACTTGAGGAACATCATTTAAAGTTGGTGAAACGTTGAAACTATAAGGACTTAAACTGAAAAACATTAAAAATGAGAAAAAAATTGCGAATCACTAAAACGTTAATTACCGACGTGTAAAATCAACGTACCAATTTACCTAGATAAACTCCCAAAGCTTCGGTGCATATACTCGAACAAGAAACCAATTTTATCGTGATATGCCCCATAACGGATTGGTAATGTTGATTTATGACGGTTTCAAAAGCGCTACGAAAAGTCGTCAAATCGGAATTTTTAGCATTAAAATCGGCATTAGCATCAAGTACACTTCCGGCGTGAAGAACGATAATTAATATGCTTGTATTGCACGATTGATAATTAGTTGTTGGAGAATTGTCCGGATAAGAGGTTGTTTCATTCGTAGACTTTGTTAAATGCAGTCTATTCCCTTTCTCTGAAGTTAAATGTTGAACAAAATCGTGAGAAAATATACTGTCTAAAAAAATTTTGTACCCGTCACCATCATATTTTTAAAATCGACAATTTTTTTTTTTTTTTATTACGAGTAACAATTTTTTTTTTTTTTTGTACTACCTTTAGTATTCAATTCTACATCGGGAGAAGTCAATCCTAATTCGTCATCGGGTAGTATATCGAGAGAACTCCATTTTACCAATGTACCTGCACTTGAAACATCTTCTGTAAATATTTTATTTACCATCTAAATAAAGATTCAATTTTTTTTTTTTTATAAAAAACTTTAAAATTTCTCCCTTTTGTAAAAAAAAAAAAAAAAAAAAAAAAAAATGATAAAACCTCAACTATAACTATATAAAAAAATTATTATTATTATTTCTGCATAAAATTTAGTTACATCGAAGCCCAAAAAAAAAAAAAAAAAATCAGGTTTCGCACCTTGACAGTCAAAAAATTCTTCATCACTTTCCGATTCCGAATCCCTTCTCAATGATTCCATTCTCCATTTATCGACATTTAAATCAAATTCTTTTCCAGAACCTGTGGGAGAATTAAAAGCATCTCTTGAAAATGACCGACTCCATTTTCTTCTTATTCCCTGAACCATTTCATCTTCATTTCTTTTAAAATCAAATTAGACATTATTTTTATTTCAAATATTATTATTTGACAAATAGTTTTTTTTTTTTTTTTTAAATTTTTACCTCCCGATGTTTAAATTTACTGGAAAATTACTGTCTTCGTTCCGAAGATTATTAACTTCCTTGTTTTCTTGTCCATTCTTCGGTCCTTCGACTATTTTCTCAAAAGCTTCCGCCAAAGTTTTATCAATTTCTGGAGTTTTTGTATTCATATTTTTTGCAACGTCTGCGATTTAATCATTTATTAATCAATCATGTTCAAACGTAAACTTAAAATTTAAAATCAAATTATTAAATTTTAATTACTGTTTTCCTCTTCTCCCGAATCGTCTTCTCCCCCCATTTTTTCTTTCAATGCTTCTTGTGTTTCCCTTTCTATTTTTCTTATGTCTTCCATGGAAAGTCCGTACCATTCGTCTTGCCATACCCAAGCTTGCCTGTGAGCTCGAAGCATTGTTTTTCTTAAAGCTGCAATGTAAAAAAAAAAAGTTTCAAATTTAAAATTATTATTAAAAATTTATATAAATGGAGTCATCACATGACCCCCACATTACAAAAACTTTCACCCAATCAAAGGTTTACGCGCAAAAAATTTATTTAAAATATACACGTGCCTACGTCATCAATAAACTTTTCAAGTTTCGACTGCAACCCCCAATAACGAAATTCCACGCGACACAATTTATAAGCGCACATGACGGATTTTCCTTTAGACGTCGGCATACTTTTCCCCTGACATTCTTCCCAATACTCGTTCAACCAATTTTCCGAAAGGGGACCTCTCCCCGTTTTTTCCGACACGAATATTTTCGGATCTTCTTCTTTGATGTAATCCACTCCGGGAGTTTGATCTTTGACCACGTCAATTAAATCTAAATTATTGATAAAATAAAATAAAATAAAATAAATTTAATAAAATTTCCCACACGAAAATTATTATTTATTATTATTATTATTATTATCATCAACAACGTTTTTTGAAAGAATCTTACCGACGGATCGATTTCTTAAATCGTTTCCCGACAAACCGAAAACGTTATTTTGATATCCATTGTCGGGATAATAATAAGTTTCGATTTCAATGAAAAATTTTTCGATAAATAATGACGTGTATCTCGTTTTAGTATACGGATAAGCATTCCAGGCTTCTTCTTCGACCGTTAAAGCCGATTTAGGGATGAGAGATTTTATCCATCCGGGTAAATGAGATCCTATGTGATAAACTTTCCTCGTGTATTGACCCCCTTTTCCTCCTGGACCATTTTCATAGGGTTCGTTAACAAGAATTTCAACTCCACTTCCGGCTCCTTTGCTTTCATCTCTACTTTTTTTCTAAAAAAAAAAAAAAAAATAAATAAATATGACAATAATAATAATAATAATAATAATAATAATAATAATAATAATAAAATTAATTAATTAATTAATAGAAATAAAAGAGTATTACCGCTATCATGTAGAGTTGAGCTATACGATATTCTTCGACGGTCAAAGGCAAAGGAATTCTATATTCTTTAATCAACATTTTTTTTCCTTTTTTTTTCCTTTTTTTTTCTTCCTTTTTTGTCTTCTCCCCCTTTTTAATTTTTCAGTTTATTCATAATCATTATGAAAAAAGGAAATTTTTTTTTCTGTTTTTTTGTTTTTAAATAAAAAATTTTATTAAGCCATTTTTTTTTTTGAAGAAAATTTGAATTATCTGAAAATAAAATAAAAAGAAAACAAATTTGAATCCAAATTTAACAATGAATCTTTAATAAAATAAATAACATGCTACAAATTTCTGATTTAATTTTAAACAAAACAGATTTTAATCTCGAACAAAAGTAATAACTTTTTTTTTTTTTTTTTAAACATTTAAAAGTTCTTTGGAAAGTGCCAAAAAAAAAATAAATAAATAAAAACACTCGAGAAATAAAAATAAGGTATATTAAATTTTTATTTTCTTAAATTTTAATTATCGTAGATTCTATAATTTTATTATTATTTCCCCTTGCTAAATTCTTTTCATTAATACTCAAACAAACAAAAAATAAAATAATAATAATAATAATAATAAAGTAATTAAACACACTTATTACGTTATTTTCAATGTGTCGAGTTATTTATTTAAACATTTTTTTACGTATAAATAAAAGTTAAATAAACAATAAAATAAAAATTTATAAACATTTAAATTTTTTAAATAAATATTCACAGTTAAATCATATTTATTGATGATGATGATGATGATGATGATAAATAATTTTTTAAACTTCACATATGGAGGAATAAATAATTATTATTTATTAATAATAATAATAATAATATTTAAGTGAAAAAATTTAACGTTAAGAAAGAAATCAATGGTTAAAAATTATTTGATAATCTATCGTTAAAATCTTTTTTGTTTTAAAATAAAAAAAATCCATTAATAAATTTTTTTTTTTTTTTTGTTTGAAAACGTTCGAAAGTAATAAATTAAATAAATAAATAAATTTATTTTTTTTTTTTTGTTTAAAAGCTCAAATTCGGAAAAAATTACAAAAAACATACCTTTTTGACATTAATAATTAACCAATAATTATTACGTAACATGAATATAAACGTTTTTTTTTTTTTTAATAACACAAATAATTTTTTATTTCCTTAACAAATAATCGACCGTCCTTGTCACCCAATTATTATTATTATTATTATTATTATTATTGAAAATTTTAAAATAATTTAAAATAACAAATAAACATACAAAAAAAAAAATATTGAGGAGCTCCACTTGGTTATCCCAGTTAAAAATTAAATACTGCAAAAATATTGGGTGCACGGAAATATTGAGCTGCGGTGAAGAGAGAGAAAAAAAAAAAAAAAAAAAAAAAGAAAAAAAAACCATTTTTCCGTTTTTGAAAATCTGTTTCCTTTAATGCGCATGTCAAAATTTCCTTATAGTTTTAACTTTTCCCTCTCCCTATGGCCCCCCCCTCACGGGCCCCCCGACCCCCGGCCCCCCGTTCGATCTCTTCCTTTTTTCTTTCTTTTTTTTTTATTATTATTTTTATACACTTTAAATTTTTTTTTTAAAGGCTAAATTATAAATAAAAAATTTGTTAACGGTTCGATAAGTCATTTAGTTTAAAAAAAAAAAAAAAAAAAAAAATCAATTTACGAATCCAAATTATTTCCCCCTTTAAATAAAATTTAAAATTTTTATTTTAATTTTCCTTCCCGTCTATCCCCAAAACTGAATTTCGAAAAATTTTTTTTTGCTCTTTTGTTATTTTATTAAAAAAGGAAGAAAGGTAGTGTGTTATAGTATAAGGATAATGGATATGAAGAAAAGAAAAAAAAACTCCAAGGAAATAAATTAAAATGCAGGGTGTAAAAAAAAAAAAAAAAAGGGATAGATAAGGGAAGAAGGAAAGGGTTGGAAAAGGGTAAAACGAAATGGGGGGGGGGGATTTTATACTTTTTTAAATGTCAAAGGTAAAACGTCTATGAAAAAAGGCTACCAACCATTTTTAATCTTTAGACATTTGTTTAAAAATGTACATTTTTACAAGGAAAAAAAATTTTAAATGTTTATATAAAACGAAATTTAATAAAAACCAGAATAAAAATGATATAAATCTCCTATTAATTTATTTTTATTCACTTATTTTTAAATTTATTTTTGCTTTTTTTTTTTAATTTTATCCAATTGTTTTTTGGTTTAGTTTAACAAAAAACAAATTCCCCCCCCCCGTTGTAACAGGGGGGGGGGGAAATTATTTATAAACAAGTAATTGTTAATGTGGTTAATTTTTTAAAACCTTTACTTAATAATAAAGTTTTAAATATAAATTGACTTAAAAAATTTTACTATTCAATATATCATACAAATTTTTGTTAAGTTTATTCAAGTTTATTAATTATTATTTCCCTAATTTAATAAAATAAAAATTTTTCTCTTCCTTTCTTACAATTCTTTAAGACATTTTATTCACAATTAAAAACTAAAATAAAGAACACAATTTAAAATAAATAAATAAAACATAAATGATTGATCATATGAAATCGTAAAACTTTACAAGTTGTAAAAAATAATGAAAACGTTAAAGTATTATTAAATTTCAATTTCCAAATTAACAAATCACCAAATTAACAAAAATCAGTTAAATTTGTCAAAGGAGTCAATTATTAAAAATTTAATTAAGTAAAATTGTTTGATAGTAAATTGCTAAATTATTAAGTAAATCATTAAATAATTAAAGCAATTTTAGTATAATTTATAAGGGCAATACGACTGATTTCTTAACACAAAATCTGCTGTATAAAGTATATTTTTTTGTTGTTACAAAAATATCGTTTAAAGGGTATTAAGGGTGGCAAGTTTTCTAAATGTTACTTACAATGAGGAAACATTTAAAAAAAAATTATTAATAAAATCTCTACTTCAAATCTTTATAAAAATAGATTTATAAAAGTGTGGTAATTTAATTTCAAGTAATTATCTGTAGTCATATTGATAAGTGTACACATTCAAAAGTAAGCAAATTGATATAAATCATATTTGTCATGATGACAACTATAAATTACAAAAATATATTTTCAACATTTTTTTAAACATCACTCAAAATATTTCAAATAATATTAGTTAACAAATACTTTAGTTAAAACATATAAAATTTTTGTAATTACATAACAGTTTTTCTAACTTTTTTTTTTTTTTTTTTTTTTTCACGGAGAGACATTATCTTTTATCAATATTTATAACTTAAAAGGAATAAAAAATGACATACCTTATAGGAAAACTCTGAATTAATAACGGAGTTAACGTAGCAACATGATTAGTTTTGAAAATTTAATAGTCAAAATAAAAACATACGTACATTCAAATTAAAAGAAGAAAAGGTCTTTGATAATTTTGAATTTCATCTATAAAGTTTTATTAAAATACAGTTGGTACTTTTTACTTGTTTTTTTCGGGGCCCAGTTTGTTTACTTTTTAAAAAGGGCCTTACTCCTAGAAATGGATTTGACAGAACTGTCAGAAGCCTTATGTTAATTTTTTTTTTTTTTTTTTTTTTTACAAAATTGGCTTATGAAAATTGTATTTTATTATTTAAGAAAAAAAGAGAAAAATTTATAATATTGTACTTTACTTTTCTTTTTTTTTTAATATTACTATGGAAGAATGGTTAATAAAAAGTATTTTCAAATATTTCTACTTATAGTTATCGCTAAATGTATGTAATAACTGAATTGCTATTAATTAATATCGTATTTATTATTTAATTTTGTCTCACTCATATATATAATTCTTTAAGGTTGCAATTGTGGTCACTCTGAAAGCAAAGAATTTTTCGTCGACATGGGTGAAAATATTACTATTCCCTGTAATCAAGATTTTGCCTTCTCACAGTTTTCTAAAATTGAACCTGTTATGTGGATAAAAAGCGGTAGAGAAGATGGTCAAGTAAATAGATTAAAAATACTACCAAATGGTAGTTTATCTCTTGAAAAAGTTATTAAAAGTGACTCCGGTAGTTATATGTGTACTTTGGAAAAAAATATGTCAGATGTTGATAAAATAAATGGAAATGATTTACTAGATGAGTATAGTGAAGTTAACATCATATATAAAGTAATTGTAAGAAGTAAGTATTTTTAGCCTTGTTTTTTTTGTCAGTAAATTTAAAATAAATCTAAATAATTTTTTTTTTGGTTTTAGCACCACCTCCAATGTTAGTAAATGTTTCAGTTCATCCTTCGACAGTTCTTGCACTTTTATTATGGGATGTTAGCGATACAGGTGGTTACGACATATCATATTTTTCTGCTCAGTATCGACTGAAAAATGATACAAAAGGTTCATGGCATAATGTATTACCTGTTCATATAAGCCCAACAGCAGTAAGATACCTTTTTAAAACCTAAAAAAATTACTGCTAATGGTTATTTTAAAACTAAATATGTTTATTATTTTTGCATAATTAGAGACAAATCGATGTATATCACCTTCATCCTAATTCGACATACTCATTTCAAATTTGGGCAGTTAACCCTCTGGGTGTGGGTGAAATAACCGAAGTAGATGCAACAACAAATCATATTATGGAAGAAATAGGTATGAAATTAAATTGAATTGATTTTGTTTTTACTCATTTTATACTACAAATATCTTTTATTTTTAGAATTGGCTAAACATCTGTTGGAGGGAGCAG